GAGAGAAGAATCGGCGGAAGCTGTAAGAACAGTTACAGAAATTTTGAAGGAAGAAGAGGTAGAGGAAGACCAAAATAGAGATGGAGGGATGCTATTGAATGCGATATGAGGACAACTGATGTTAGCGTAAATGACGTGGGAAATCGTGTCAAGTAAAAGTTTAGGATTAGGGTGATCGACCCCAAGTAGTTGGGATTAAGGCGAGTAAGAAGAAGACTTAGAATGTTTAAAATTTTCTCACTCTTTAAATTGCATCATATTATCTTTATTCTTATTACTACATAATATCTTTGGTCATTTTGATTTGGTAAAAAATTATTGAATTACCTTTTTCTCAATTTCAAAAAAAAAAACATTTAACAAAAATATATTTTAATCATAACGATTACATACTTCCATCTGAGTAAAGTATATCAATAATACACGAATAGCAGCTATATCTGGATGGTTATAATCGTTTATACAATCAGTAGCTTGGATAAAAAAACTTGAAACTATAGAACCCATTCCAACAATACAACCTCGAATTTCACATTGATTTAAAGGTAAAATAAATTCAGAATCAAACTGTGTTTTAAATCTAAAATTTAAAATAATAATAAAACTCATTATTAAATATAATTGTAATAATATATTCCAATTTATATTACGGATGTACTAATGGCTGTGAATTATCTGGAATTATTTTATGTAATGCAGCGGAAGCTTCAGTAATAATATCACATAATTTATCTATATTACCAGTTATGTGTAATTTAATGTTATCTGGATTAGTTAAAAATAATTTTAATTTATTCAAATCTTCATTTACAATTTTCCAACCTTCTTCAGTTTCAATTGTTTTTTGCAAACTAGTTAAAAACTTATATTGTCTTAAGGTACTACAAACGTATGCATTGTTATCTGTTAAAAAAACTGTTTAATTAGCATAATTTTAACAAGGAAATTAAAATTATAAGTATAAAAATAAAATAAATTATTAAGCTGTTCCATATATGGACCTCTGTGCCTTATTAAAAAAAAATACCCGAGTATTAAATTACTATAGGAAAAAATACCGAAAAAATATTTCTTATTTTTATTAAGTAAAATTATCTGAGAAAAAACAAACAGTCAAAACATTTATAGGCTTTGTTTTTCGCATCGTAGCTAATATTATTTTGACGTCCTTATAAGATATAAAGGAAGAACTATAAATTATTTTATAACAAATAAATGGAGATATATATGTAACTAATAAAAATAAAAATATAAAATAAAATGAATTTTTAAAAGAAATCGACTGGGTAGTTTATAAGAAACTATTTGAATTCCTAATATATCGAACGTTTCGCGATGTCATGACAAATCTAATTACTTATGATCTACTAAATATTTTACGTTGGTTCTACTAGATTAAAATCAGGTTCTTTTGAGATATTGATGATTAAAAATGGTCCAATGTGAACTGCGCATTTTAATGGATAAACATAAAAAAACACAAAACCAATACCTTTTCAGTTTCGCAACGAAACTATAAAAATGTATAATATTTGACGTGATTCCTTCAAACTGCTATATAATTCACCCCGAATGGATAAGAGACACTCATTCCAATCACAATATATGATTTCTAATATACTGCGTAAATTTACGCCACACGATGAAACTTTTATTGCTTTCGTTTTATAATACAGCTTTCACCACATAATACTACCATATATCACCCAAATGATGCAATAACAATTAGTTACAACGATACTTCAACGTAATATGTGTAAAAGGTTTATCATTTCCATAATATTCATTAATATATCTATACATTTGATGGAATCAATATTATCATTAATTAGACAAGTAACAGAAAAGTGGTTACTGATTAATTTTTATCCATGGATGAAATATAAGTTATTTGTAATATAATACATAGCACATGTATACTGTCATTTTGCCAATGTACTGATTACTGTTACAGACATTAGTACTCATTTGTCAGTCGCATTTTATTTTATTTTAGAGTCACAGCGACAATTACTTACACTAATGTCGTTGTGACATGGTAGCAGTGATGAGTTTATTTAAACATTACTACTGGTGATGATGTCAAAAGATGACACGGGGTGGGAAATCAGTGCATGACGGTTCCCCGAAATCGGGTCAATCCAGTCCTACCAACTTTGCTTCAATAAAAGAAATACTCATTACACATTATATTTATAAACAAAATTATTCATTTATCATGAACCACGTAATTAGTCGAAAAATAAAATAATGTTAATAATATTTTTATTTGTTTCTTTTAGTTTAATGTTTCATTCAATTTTTCAGTCCCAAAGTTTTTTTATGTTCATCCTTATACCTTATAAATGTGACAACTTTCGTTTTTCAAAAAACAACACCCCTAGTTTACTAGCTTATTGAAAAGACTGATCGTTAACAAATTTTGGACCAGTAATTCAGGAGTTCTTGAATTATTTATATGTAAATGCAAAGAAAAGTACGTCTGGGAAATTAGGTAAAAACATTTACCTTAAAGAAACTAAAAGAAATTATTAATATTATTTTTATTTTTCGATTAAATAAGTGGTTCATAATAAGTGAATCACTATGTATATAGATTTTATAAATATTTTATGATTGTTCTATTTTTCTAATCTAATTCAATAATTACCTTGTTTGTACACCATATTCGTTAAAATTTGATTTACCATGTCTCTTCCATTTCTACGATAGCTAGAAATTTCATTTATCATTGTTGACAATATAACAGAAAGCCAATTTTTAGTAATGACTGTATTATAAAGAATATCATGAAGCCATTTGATGCTTTTTTGATATTTTTCTAGTTCGACCTATTCAATTAAAACATTCATTATGAGTTTAAAGTTTCAAATATTAATTATTAAAATTTTATATTTAAAACTAAATAAATGATTGATTAATTATTATATCCAATATGATAACATGATTATGATAAGTAAAACAAAAAAAATTATTTTAACAATCAAACTTTGAATTGAATGAAATAATTTCCAAAATCATATTAAGTTAAGTATAATAAAATAAATATTAATATAAAATCGTAAAATACGTACATTATGATAAAAAAATAAAAAATATTTAAAAAAATAAGAAATTTCTTTTTTTTTTTTAATTAAAAAAATGTAAACATTCTCTGACATTAGAACATACCTTAACTGACATATTTATAACAGAGGAAAAATATCCAAATGTAAACGTTCCTGAAGAAATCCCAATAGATGCTTGTTTTTGAAGAATATCTTTTTCTAATTCTATATAATCTATTTCTACACCATTTCGTATTATAGTACTATTCGTTATTGAACCAAGAAAAACGGGTAAGTATTTTCTTAAATGTAATGCCATGTCTTTAGTGTTGAAAAATGCTCTAATCTGAAAGGAATTATTGTAGAATTATATTATTAGTAGGTATTACAAGTACTCCAAAATTATACATAATTTTTTTACTTACATAAACAAAATTACTTTTAACATTATCGATTTCAACAAACAATGGAACTTCAGAAGTATTGAATAATTTGTGTTGATTTATTGAATTTGATGAAAAAGTATCACGAATTAAAAACTGTACGAGTTCAACATTAGGGATTTTAATTGACGTTAGCATTTGACTGGGGGGTTTTTTCTGAAATTTATGAATTCATAAATTAATTGAGGCTTTAAAATCACTATTTATCAAAAAACTAAATAAATTAGTTAATCTCAGAGAAATGTTCAAAATTGGTTTAATAGATAAAACATGATATGTGCCGTAAATCTTCATTATCATTTCAATAGACTCTGAACCAACTATTTGCTGTTAGCACGACCTTATTGATTTGACAAGATTTTTACACTGGCTATCGACCAGACGCAGCCTTATTATGGCACAGGAACCAGTAACAGAGCAAGGTGTGTGCCACTTTTAAAGTTCTTGTATAGTCACCCATCTCCCACAGGAGGATCTGTAAGTATCATTGCCTTATAAACCCCACGAACTAGTTAATTCAGTGGCGTTGGCAACACGTACCACTGCTATTAGCCGGTCATGACTTTGATTAGTTGAGACAAGTAGGCCTGGGCATACCTGCTTGCCAACAGCGAATAGGCCCCCCTAACCCAGCCATACCAAGTAAGAGGGTTGCTAACTTGTCACAGGGTAGTTAGCCGAAAGGTAAAGTGACTATTGTTATCCTCTATGGCACCTGGCGCAACACAGAGTATCAAAGTATCTAGCTCTGCTGTGATGGACCTTTATTTCTTGACCAATTGTGAGAACTATATGGATAAAAACATACAAATACCACAAAATAACGACTTTTGATGAACTGGAATCCTACAGACAACCTGTCGGAAAAAGAGCGTGAATTAACAGTTCTTCGCAGAAGAATCGTCGCACTTCAAAGTTTCAGTGCGAACAACGGGACACTTNGTCGCACTTCAAAGTTACAGTGCGAACAACGGGACACTTGGTGAACCGTCTACTAAAAAAGAAATAGTAACGTCAACACACGCAGACTAAAAGTCGCAAGATCAACAGGAAGTAGTAGCTGACAAAATCGAGAGTCTCAAATTTAGACCCTCTGACAATAGAATTCAATTCACGCAAATAAAAATGCATCACAGTTAAGGGGCCAGCTGTGTATTACTAAGGACTCTTACTTGAAGACATAGAACCATAGATAAATGGTGACCAGATTAAGGAACTAAATCAAAAGAATTTTGCTAAAAAATCAGATAAACCAAGAACTTGCATTTTGATTTACGAAAAAATTTAAAGCCAGCTTTGTACTTAATCTATAAAGTGCACATTTAACTATTATTAGAGTAACACTATACGATGGTGAAAATATTAGAGTAGCTTTAGGATATCTACCATATGAGGTGACAGACCCAGGTAGGGACTTAACTGTGCTCTTTAATTATTGCAAAAATGAAAAATTAGAAGTCATCCTAGGCTAATGCTCACCACACTATTTGGGGGAGCAGTAATATCAACTAAAGAGGAGAGGTAATAATGGATCTATTACTGATAGTCTCGGCTAACAAGAAAAACTGTCCTTTAATAGAAAGGAAAGGTACAGGGCGGGGTGTAGCTTGATAGAACGTTAATCTGTCTTCAGTTTAGAGTTCAAGTAAGCTCTTAAATGAAGTCATGAACTCAGGTTTGGAACATCTCTAGAAAAGAATTACAAATGTGTATTGCAAAAGTCTAAAAGAGAAAGCTGGGAGAAGTTCTGTGGGGAAATATAGCAACTAAACTTCTGCGATCACTAAGGAATGGACTAAACAAAACTGTCAAGACAATACTACTGTCAGACGGAATGTTCACCAGTAATGATAATNGTTATCCTCTATGGCACCTGGCGCAACATAGAGTATCAAAGTATCTAGCTCTGCTGTGATGGACCTTTATTTCTTGACCGATTGTGAGAACTATATGGATAAAAACATACAAATACCACAAAATAACGACTTTTGATGAACTGGAATCCTACAGACAACCTGTCGGAAAAAGAGCGTGAATTAACAGTTCTTCGCAGAAGAATCATCGCACTTCAAAGTTTCAGTGCGAACAACGGGACACTTGGTGAACCGTCTACTAAAAAAGAAATAGTAACGTCAACACACAGACTAAAAGTCGCAAGATCAACAGGAAGTAGTAGCTGACAAAATCGAGAGTCTCAAATTTAGACCCTCTGACAATAGAATTCAATTCACGCAAATAAAAATGCATCACAGTTAAGGGGCCAGCTGTGTATTACTAAGGACTCTTACTTGAAGACATAGAACCATAGATAAATGGTGACCAGATTAAGGAACTAAATCAAAAGAATTTTGCTAAAAAATCAGATAAACCAAGAACTTGCATTTTGATTTACGAAAAAATTTAAAGCCAGCTTTGTACTTAATCTATAAAGTGCACATTTAACTATTATTAGAGTAACACTATACGATGGTGAAAATATTAGAGTAGCTTTAGGATACCTACCATATGAGGTGACAGACCCAGGTAGGGACTTAACTGTGCTCTTTAATTATTGCAAAAATGAAAAATTAGAAGTCATCCTAGGCTAATGCTCACCACACTATTTGGGGGAGCAGTAATATCAACTAAAGAGGAGAGGTAATAATGGATCTATTACTGATAGTCTCGGCTAACAAGAAAAACTGTCCTTTAATAGAAAGGAAAGGTACAGGGCGGGGTGTAGCTTGATAGAACGTTAATCTGTCTTCAGTTTAGAGTTCAAGTAAGCTCTTAAATGAAGTCATGAACTCAGGTTTGGAACATCTCTAGAAAAGAATTACAAATGTGTATTGCAAAAGTCTAAAAGAGAAAGCTGGGAGAAGTTCTGTGGGGAAATATAGCAACTAAACTTCTGCGATCACTAAGGAATGGACTAAACAAAACTGTCAAGACAATACTACTGTCAGACGGAATGTTCACCAGTAATGATAATAAAACAATATCACATTTGATGATCACACACTTTCCTGGCTCTGAAAATAACAACAGAGAACAGTCACATGATACACAGAATAAACAAGTGACTGATTGGAAACTAACCAAAAGAATGATAACTGTCCATTTTTGGACAGCTCAATGAAACCTAAGTAATGAATAGTAGTGATGAGCAAAACAAGAACAAGACCAAGACTGTCAAAGTCTTGGTCATAGTCTTGTTCTTGATAGCTCAGTCTTGGTCNATCGCACTTCAAAGTTTCAGTGCGAACAACGGGACACTTGGTGAACCGTCTACTAAAAAAGAAATAGTAACGTCAACACACAGACTAAAAGTCGCAAGATCAACAGGAAGTAGTAGCTGACAAAATCGAGAGTCTCAAATTTAGACCCTCTGACAATAGAATTCAATTCACGCAAATAAAGATGCATCANTTCAATTCACGCAAATAAAAATGCATCACAGTTAAGGGGCCAGCTGTGTATTACTAAGGACTCTTACTTGAAGACATAGAACCATAGATAAATGGTGACCAGATTAAGGAACTAAATCAAAAGAATTTTGCTAAAAAATCAGATAAACCAAGAACTTGCATTTTGATTTACGAAAAAATTTAAAGCCAGCTTTGTACTTAATCTATAAAGTGCACATTTAACTATTATTAGAGTAACACTATACGATGGTGAAAATATTAGAGTAGCTTTAGGATACCTACCATATGAGGTGACAGACCCAGGTAGGGACTTAACTGTGCTCTTTAATTATTGCAAAAATGAAAAATTAGAACTCATCCTAGGCTAATGCTCACCACACTATTTGGGGGAGCAGTAATATCAACTAAAGAGGAGAGGTAATAATGGATCTATTACTGATAGTCTCGGCTAACAAGAAAAACTGTCCTTTAATAGAAAGGAAAGGTACAGGGCGGGGTGTAGCTTGATAGAACGTTAATCTGTCTTCAGTTTAGAGTTCAAGTAAGCTCTTAAATGAAGTCATGAACTCAGGTTTGGAACATCTCTAGAAAAGAATTACAAATGTGTATTGCAAAAGTCTAAAAGAGAAAGCTGGGAGAAGTTCTGTGGGGAAATATAGCAACTAAACTTCTGCGATCACTAAGGAATGGACTAAACAAAACTGTCAAGACAATACTACTGTCAGACGGAATGTTCACCAGTAATGATAATGAAACAATATCACATTTGATAATCACACACTTTCCTGGCTCTGAAAATAACAACAGAGAACAGTCACATGATACACAGAATAAACAAGTGACTGATTGGAAACTAACCAAAAGAATGATAACTGTCCATTTTTGGACAGCTCAATGAAACCTAAGTAATGAAGAGTATTAAACGAGATGATACCCAACCGCCCACAAGGCGGGGTTGTGTCTCCCTTGCTATGGTTTCTAGTATTAAACTCGCTTATTAAAGAGTTAAACAAATACTGTTATACACAAGCCTATGCGGATGACCTAGTTATAGTAGTGGTGTGTAAATTCCCAGATACTATTATAGACTTAGCACAACAGAGACTAAACACTATGCATATATGATGTAGTAAGTATGGTCTATCTATTAATCTAAATAAAGCAGACGTAGTTATGTTCACTAGAAGGAGAACGGGATTAAACGGGACATGAACAAACAATTAGCTTAAAATCAGAAGTACAATATTTAGGTATTATCTTACATAGTAAGCTAAATTGAAAATCACATGTTGATATCAAGAGTCAAAAAAGCAATGACCACACTATGGACTTGAAACAGAACCCTGGAAAAGACATGAGGTTAACACGGCCTGTCACAGTTATAGAACGTGTACCGAAAATCATGTGAAAAAAGAGGCACGGTACGGGATTAGAACCCGAGACCCAAGGCGTCGTATAGACAAACTTTACCACTAGGCCACCATGCATTTATGATTCAGATCCCGATACACTTTCATTTAGGTTGGTAACGTGATGTGCGGCTGAGGGAAACACGGTACTGTGTCAAGGTCTTAAACCAAGAGTTATGTTTTGGCTGTATACTTTAGTGATTAAACCTATGATTTTGATGATGCCAAGGTCTAGTGGATCAGAATAACACTCGTTACACCCAAGAAAGAATCAAGTCGCATAAAGAGAATGGCTGCCATAGCTATTACTGAAGCATTAAGAACTACACCAATGGTCGCATAAGAGACACTAATCGGTTTGCCTCCTCTGCATCTAGAGGTTACAGCTCACGCCAAAATCACAGCACAAAGATTCCACAACTTAGGTACTTGGACTATGCAGAACAACTCAGTAAAACACGTAAAGTACTAAAAGATATAGACCAGGCCATTTTGGAATACCCCAATAATACTATGTCAAACCGATTCTTAAGATTAACATTTTTCTACAAAGTATAAATCGCTACAAGCAGAGAATGGAATATTAACTATATGACTGAGAACAGAGGATTTGTAATATATACGGATGGATCCAAAAAATTAGGAAAGGTAGGTGCTGGAATTTGGGGTCTAAAACCTTGAATAAATATCAATATGTCATTGGGCACAACACCCTGTTTTCTAAGCAGAGGTGATGGCAATACGGGTAGGGGCTTAGAACCTACTAGTATATAAGAAAATAAAGATAACTATTTTAAGTGATATTCAAGCGGCTCTAAAAGCACTCTGTAANATGAATAGTATTAAACGAGATGATACCCAACCGCCCACAAGGCGGGGTTGTGTCTCCCTTGCTATGGTTTCTAGTATTAAACTCGCTTATTAAAGAGTTAAACAAATACTGTTATACACAAGCCTATGCGGATGACCTAGTTATAGTAGTGGTGTGTAAATTCCCAGATACTATTATAGACTTAGCACAACAGAGACTAAACACTATGCATATATGATGTAGTAAGTATGGTCTATCTATTAATCTAAATAAAGCAGACGTAGTTATGTTCACTAGAAGGAGAACGGGATTAAACGGGACATGAACAAAAAATTAGCTTAAAATCAGAAGTACAATATTTAGGTATTATCTTACATAGTAAGCTAAATTGAAAATCACATGTTGGTATCAAGAGTCAAAAAAGCAATGACCACACTATGGACTTGAAACAGAACCCTGGAAAAGACATGAGGTTAACACGGCCGCCGGGGATTGACGGCCAGTTATAGAACGTGTACCGAAAATCATGTGAAAAAAGAGGCACGGTACGGGATTAGAACCCGAGACCCAAGGCGTCGTATAGACAAACTTTACCACTAGGCCACCATGCATTTATGATTCAGATCCCGATACACTTTCATTTAGGTTGGTAACGTGATGTGCGGCTGAGGGAAACACGGTACTGTGTCAAGGTCTTAAACCAAGAGTTATGTTTTGGCTGTATACTTTAGTGATTAAACCTATGATTTTGATGATGCCAAGGTCTAGTGGATCAGAATAACACTCGTTACACCCAAGAAAGAATCAAGTCGCATAAAGAGANAAATTAGCTTAAAATCAGAAGTACAATATTTAGGTATTATCTTACATAGTAAGCTAAATTGAAAATCACATGTTGGTATCAAGAGTCAAAAAAGCAATGACCACACTATGGACTTGAAACAGAACCCTGGAAAAGACATGAGGTTAACACGGCCGCCGGGGATTGACGGCCAGTTATAGAACGTGTACCGAAAATCATGTGAAAAAAGAGGCACGGTACGGGATTAGAACCCGAGACCCAAGGCGTCGTATAGACAAACTTTACCACTAGGCCACCATGCATTTATGATTCAGATCCCGATACACTTTCATTTAGGTTGGTAACGTGATGTGCGGCTGAGGGAAACACGGTACTGTGTCAAGGTCTTAAACCAAGAGTTATGTTTTGGCTGTACACTTTAGTGATTAAACCTATGATTTTGATGATGCCAAGGTCTAGTGGATCAGAATAACACTCGTTACACCCAAGAAAGAATCAAGTCGCATAAAGAGAATGGCTGCCATAGCTATTACTGAAGCATTAAGAACTACACCAATGGTCGCATAAGAGACACTAATCGGTTTGCCTCCTCTGCATCTAGAGGTTAAAGCTCACGCCAAAATCACAGCACAAAGATTCCACAACTTAGGTACTTGGACTATGCAGAACAACTCAGTAAAACACGTAAAGTACTAAAAGATATAGACCAGGCCATTTTGGAATACCCCAATAATACTATGTCAAACCGATTCTTACGATAACATTTTTCTACAAAGTATAAATCGCTACAAGCAGAGAATGGAATATTAACTATATGACTGAGAACAGAGGATTTGTAATGTATACGGATGGATCCAAAAAATTAGGAAAGGTAGGTGCTGGAATTTGGGGTCTAAAACCTTGAATAAATATCAATATGTCATTGGGCACAACACCCTGTTTTCTAAGCAGAGGTGATGGCAATACGGGTAGGGGCTTAGAACCTACTAGTATATAAGAAAATAAAGATAACTATTTTAAGTGATATTCAAGCGGCTCTAAAAGCACTCTGTAACGATTAGGTGAATTCAAATCTTATCCTCAAATGCAGGGAAACTTTAGGATCACTATCGAGGTTTAACAAAGTTACACTAGCGTGGGTACCAGGACACGGTGGTATTGCTGGAAATAAAATAGCTGACTTTCTAATTAGAAAAGGAGCAAAGAACATCTATGTTGGGTCAAAACCAGTGGTAGGACTCACTGAGTAATCGCTCAAACCGCTACCCAAGAATTGGTGCAGAAAACAACACAGGGAAGTTTGGAAATACTTGGNGTATACGGATGGATCCAAAAAATTAGGAAAGGTTGGTGCTGGAATTTGGGGTCTAAAACCTTGAATAAATATCAGTATGTCATTGGGCACAACACCCTGTTTTCTAAGCAGAGGTGATGGCAATACGGGTAGGGGCTTAGAACCTACTAGTATATAAGAAAATAAAGATAACTATTTTAAGTGATATTCAAGCGGCTCTAAAAGCACTCTGTAACGATTAGGTGAATTCAAATCTTATCCTCAAATGCAGGGAAACTTTAGGATCACTATCGAGGTTTAACAAAGTTACACTAGCGTGGGTACCAGGACACGGTGGTATCGCTGGAAATAAAATAGCTGACTTTCTAATTAGAAAAGGAGCAAAGAACATCTATGTTGGGTCAAAACCAGTGGTAGGACTCACTGAGTAATCGCTCAAACCGCTACCCAAGAATTGGTGCAGAAAACAACACAGGGAAGTTTGGAAGTACTTGGTAGTACCTAGACAATCTAAAATATTTATCAAAACCCCCAATCTACTGCTGGGTGATTTTAATAGCATGTTTCGACATCAAATAAGCACTTTGACTGCTCTACTAACAGACATGTTCACTTAATATGGTCTTATTCCAATGGGGGTATCGGAATTACTATTTTGCAGGAAGAGTGGCGTAGAAGAGGAAGACTCATTTTACATAATATGCGAATGTAAAACCTTGTCCACACTAAGATCAAACTACTTGAGTAAACCTTTTCCTGAAAAAGAAAATATTAAAAACCTAAGACCCAGAGAGATACTTAATTTCGTCAGAAAGACTCTTTGGTTATCCTCTGGGGGTGACTTAATAGTCTACCGTTATACAATGATATAATGTAATAACACTTCGATGATAACAGTTATGTGTGTAAACCGAACCAAGACATTTTGGTATGAGATGTGCCAATGGACCAACAGGTCTGAGTGCATGGGCATTATATCTACCTCACTAATAACTAAAACTATGGTCACCCATCTGGGAACTAATAACAAATAGCACAGTTGAACATCAGCTCTCAGACACTGACTTAATAATCCACTACACCTTTCCACGCCTCGTTAGGTACCTTAAATAATGCTAATAGATTATAAATGATAACTATTGAACATTTTTATTATTTAATTGTTTTTATATTACTTCACATTCTGTTTTAGCATTCAGTAGTTCATTAGCTTTTAATTTTAAACCATCATCGCCTAAATCATTNGAAAAAGAAAATATTAAAAACCTAAGACCCAGAGAGATACTTAATTTCGTCAGAAAGACTCTTTGGTTATCCTCTGGGAGTGACTTAATAGTCTACCGTTATACAATGATATAATGTAATAACACTTCTATGATAACAGTTATGTGTGTAAACCGAACCAAGACATTTTGGTATGAGATGTGCCAATGGACCAACAGGTCTGAGTGCATGGGCATTACATCTACCTCACTAATAACTAAAACTATGGTCACCCATCTGGGAACTAATAACAAATAGCACAGTTGAACATCAGCTCTAAGACACTGACTTAATAATACACTACACCTTTCCACGCCTCGTTAGGTACCTTAAATAATGCTAATAGATTATAAATGATAACTATTGAACATTTTTATTATTTAATTGTTTTAATATTACTTCACATTCTGTTTTAGCATTCAGTAGTTCATTAGCTTTTAATTTTAAACCATCATCGCCTAAATCATTTTTGCGTTGTGATACTCTTTGAATTTCTTCATTAGATAGCTCGTGCTGTTTTTTTATAGATGGAATTCCTCTTACAACTACTTTGTGATCGTTTAATAAATAATCTCTTAAAATTTTTATCCAAAACAAGATATCTTCAGTTATAAGTTTATTCAAAATGCTAATTGTGTTCAATATTTCGTCTAACTAAAATTATGCAGTCAAAAAAAATTTTACTTTTGTATTGTTTCTTTAACATTATTTAATTTTACTCACATCTGATTTACTCTTACCATACAAAAAGTCAAAAATGATTAAGAATGGTAAAGTAGAATTAGGATTAGTTTCTAGTGTTTTTAATAGGGATAGCTTATATTTTTTAATAGATGTTCTCAGTCTTTCTAGGTCAAAATAATCTTCATCATCAATAAGCTTTTTAAATACTTCACTTAACTTCAATGGTATTTGTTCTTCATCCAATTTTTTAATTGGTACATCATTAAATATAAGAACTATAGATGGATTTAAGTTATTGTTAATATAGTAAGACACCTTAAAGTAAATGAACAATAATAAATAATTCACTATTAACAATTAATTGAACAAAATAATAATTTGTATTATTTTTACCGAGCTACATAATGGGTCTGAGATTGATACAAATTCTAACGACAATTTAGTTTTAGTTAAATACCGTAACAGTACATTGCAAGCTCTATACCTAAAAAAAGAAGGTATAATTAATATTTAATATCGTAAATTGTTTAATTTTATTCGAACAGTTAGTGATTCTTATTGTTTATATAATTCTGTAATTATAGTTGTTTGATTATTAAAGCTTAATAAAAAGTTAATAATAGTTCAATCTTATTTAGAGNTTTATATTTTTTAATAGATGTTCTCAGTCTTTCTAGGTCAAAATAATCTTCATCATCAATAAGCTTTTAAATACTTCACTTAACTTCAATGGTATTTGTTCTTCATCCAATTTTTTAATTGGTACATCATTAAATATAAGAACTATAGATGGATTTAAGTTATTGTTAATATAGTAAGACACCTTAAAGTAAATGAACAATAATAAATAATTCACTATTAACAATTAATTGAACAAAATAATAATTTGTATTATTTTTACCGAGCTACATAATGGGTCTGAGATTGATACAAATTCTAACGAGAATTTAGTTTTAGTTAAATACCGTAACAGTACATTGCAAGCTCTATACCTAAAAAAAGAAGGTATAATTAATATTTAATATCGTAAATTGTTTAATTTTATTCGAACAGTTAGTGATTCTTATTGTTTATATAATTCTGTAATTATAGTTGTTTGATTATTAAAGCTTAATAAAAAGTTAATAATAGTTCAATCTTATTTAGAGTGAGTTCAAAATATTTTCATACACGATATTTGTTATTAATTAAAAACGAGGATTATCCAAGATGAATATTTGTACGGGCTGGATGTATTAAGTAGTAAAATACTACCCCCGGTCCCACGCCTTTTTTACCTATAGACTGGCTTCTTGGTATACCACTCTAAAGCTGATCAACCTGCTAGTGTGTAGTGTGGTAATAGAATCACTGGTGGTGGGAGTGGTGCCTGCGCAAAACCAGTAATCATTGTAGCTATTAAATATGTAAGTATATGTCTTTAACAAAATNGATCATTGTAGCGCTTAAATATGTAAGTATGTGTCTTTAACAAAATAAATAATAATTCAAAATTATACAATGATTGATAATAATATTTTCAATAATATAATAATGAATAATAAGAATAATATATAGTTAGCCTTTTTGACTAAAATAATAAATAATAAATACAGTATAAAACAGTAGCCCTTCTAGCTCAACAATAATAAATAAACAAAAACTCTGAATAATATATCAACAAAGANACTAAAATAATAAATAATAAATACAGTATAAAACAGTAGCCCTTCTAGCTCAACAATAATAAATAAACAAAAACTCTGAATAATATATCAACAAAGATAAAATCTACAAAAATAAAAAAATAANGATAAAATCTACAAAAATTCAAAAATAAATATAAACTCTCTCAAATAAATAATAATAACAAATAAAGTAGAAAAAATAAGGCCCAAAAACAATAATTGGTAAAAACTCAACTAGCAATTATATGCAACAAAACAGCCCCTTTGTTGGCTCAATAGCATAAAAACAAACACAACTAACTTAAACTACTGACTAAATTTAGTGGTACTGGGGTATGAGTTGAAAATTAAGGTAACTATAAATTGACTCTGAGAGAGTTATGCGCGAATTGGGACGTTTATTCAGAACATATTGTCGCCAATACCATATAGAATGGCCCCGTCATTAAGTATATATCGAGTGGGTACTTGAACATACAATCCATGAGTCAACTGAATTCACACCAGCAAGTTTATTTGACAATCAAGAAGAAAAATCCATTGTAGATAGCGTAATTGAATTTCCTCTGTGTAAGACAATGCCTCAAGAGTGTAAACTTGTTATAATTCGCGAAGTTCAAATTTCTAAAGCTGGACAGCGTAAGCGGCGACATGATCGAAAAGGCCCCGCAGTATCTACAATATTGGCGATCAAGTTTTAGTGCGAACTCATAAACTCAGCTCTGGTCGACAAGTTGATTGGGAAGTTTTTTTGCTTTATGATAGTCCCTATTCAGTTTCTGAAGTGAAGCAAAATAATTCTTATGTGGTAATTTGTCCATTGTCGGGAGGTGTCAAAGGCACGTTTAATGTTATATTTCTTCGAAAATATAAGTCGGCTGATGCTATAAGCTGATTTCATTTTAGTTACTAGTCATCTAAGGTACTTTTTTCTCACGCTTACACTCTTTTGAAAAGTTTTGTTGTTTCACTCCAAATCTTCTCAGGGGGGTTTCTGTAACGTGACAAAAAGTATCTACTTATTTTTTTTTGTCTATTTGTATATATAAGTATATACAGTTGTTCTAAATTATCTTAGCTGAGCCGAATGCGTGTTGCGACGACACTTATCATTTAAATAATCATGATAAGGTGTTGCGATTTGTTTGTGCACGTGCGAGATAGTCATCTGTGTACTACTTCAGATCAGTTCAGGGACGGCATTTGTGTGTACACTCACTTTGCTCCTTTCCTATCTTGAACGTCATTTGCACTGCTCACCACATACATTGTCGCCTTACGATATTTTTTTTATTCAAATTATTCTCAGCAATTTCGGGCACTGACATATTTCTACTTGTGAGCAGAAATATTTATTAACCCCTACTCTAAAGGTTAGCCGTGATGTCGCCATTGGACCGCCGCGTCAAACGACGTACGTTTTGTTGGAAATAGAGATGGTAAGTTTAGTTTATTTCTGTGAATAGTTCATTAGTTCATAGTTCATTCAAGTGAATAGTTCAAATGAACTATCCTTAAGTTCACTAATTTTATTGATCATGCTAATATTGTTTGGCAATGAACTATTCATTTTATCACTATTAGTACAGCAGTACACAGTTCAGTTGTAGTTCACACTACTTATGGGCAATTAAGTTATAAACTAACCCTTAACCTGAACATCATAAACTAAGAAAAAATTATTATCAATACCCTCATGGCTCATTTTATCATTATCACCTAATTCAAGGTGGATATATTGACCAGTAGTCCTAAGTTAAATCAAAAATCTGATCTAATATTTGTACATTGTATGAATTTATTTTATTGTTAAACAGTTAAAAACCTTGTAACATTTTAACAATATAATTTATTTGTTATCTAATTCTAAACAGCTATTAACCATTTACAGTATTTCGAACAACGAACCACAGAGAATTTTTCAAGAAGTTCGCGAACTATTTCATTTATACATTGCTACCAATTTTTTTCGAACTGTGAACTGTTAAGTTACAGGTACTGAAACAGTTCAGAATAGTTCATCTAAGTGAATAGTTCAAATGAACTATTCGTTCACGAACTTAACATCTCTAGTNCTATTCGTTCAAGAACATAACATCTATAGTTGGAAATTAGCTATCATCGGAACTGGTACGCTAATTTTCATCCATATCGAGAGTTTTAGCTTCGATGCGAAGCTCAGAAGGTATTAATTTTACTATGATGTGTTTTTTTTTTTTTTGTGTCCGTATACGCTCAATCTCAGCTCTCACTATACCGATTTTAATCAATAATATGTCAAAAGATCACAAATCGTATCTAGTTGAAGACATTACCCTCAAAAATTGAAAAAAATTCCCTCGTTCACCGTAAACGGGGGAAATCCCCAAAAAAATTACAAATTTAAAAATCGCTAATTTTCGATATTTTTTCAATTTTTTTTACTTAAAATTGCCATAACTTTTTTAAAAATGACCGAATCAATATAATTTTTCTTTTTATAGATACCTTAGATATTTACCTATCATTTTCTATATTTTTGTNCTTTTTATAGATACCTTAGATATTTACCTATCATTTTCTATATTTTTGTGAACATTTGACACTTTAACAGCCCACAGGAAGAGTTTCAAAATGGTAACTTTTTTACAAAAAATTAACTTTTTCAACTTAACTTTTGAAAATG